TAATGAAAAATACTATTTTTTTCAAAAACAACGTTCTTGAAATCAATTTATTATTTCCGTCCGTAGTTGTGTTTCGAAACTGTAATGTTACATTTTGTCCAATAAAACGCGACCCGAGAGAAAACTCTTCTCCGTTCGATCTATCCTAGTAATTCATTTTTTTGATTTTTTCTTATTTTCATTTAAAATACTAACGGTTTCCCATAGGATTTATGCAAACATTTATCAAACGGAAACTGTAACGTTTGCGAGTAGTTTATATTATTTTGTTAATTATTACTTGCGAAATTCCATTTGAAAGCGTACAATATTCACGATTAACACAATACAAGAACATGGGTTATCTTATCGGTACGAGTTTTATTAATTATCATAAATTGAACATATTTTCTATGACTACGCATAGGAGTATAAAAATACACATTTGATTCGTTATTCATACAAATCAAATAGTCATAATAACAAATGTAATTTCCTCGTTTTCGTTTAAATAAAAGCGTACATATTTTTGTGCCAGTTTATTAGACGAGGCTAAAGAGGAATTTCATGATTAACCATATTTTTGTACTCCCTTCTATTTTAAAATTATGACTATAAATTAATCTCCGGTTGACTGACTCATAGACAATCTAAAATTAACATGAACCAATGGCGTAAATAATACACCACTATGAACTTTTGAACGAATCATAAGGACGTTTCGTACACTGAATCATTAATTGATCAATTAATAAAATCGTTTTTTAATTTATCATCCATAACCGCCATATCTAAGGTATTCGTGACACATTTTAAATACTATAATCTCTTCTATCTGATGTACGAGATAAGTATTTTTTTAAATATTAACGCGCTGTTGCTCTATTTTAGATATTAATCCGGGTAAATGTGATTGCTCGTTATAGCGTTTTACTTAAGACCTGATCTATGTAATATGTAATATAAATGTTTATTTTTTAAATTATCCGAAAGTTTTCGCCTGGATATACTGATAATATAATTCGCTTAATTAGATGGACAGTTATTTTCACGATGAACAATCCAATTTTTGACCATTTATGGATCGTTTATGGTGTAAATTAGTACACGGCAAGTTATTCGATCGATTGCTGGTTCGTGTTTACATTTAATTAAAACTCTGTTAGGTTTACTTGACGTTAAACGTTGACTGAAAATTGACCTCGATAAAAACGTGATGAACAGATGTTTACAATGTTGGCGAAAATCACTCATAATATTTGTGTTAGTATTATTAAGTATATAATTAATAAATGTAGAATTTAATTTTTTTATTGCCTGCGATGTATGCTGGACACTGTAGGCGTTGTTCTTTTGTAAGCTTCATTAGCATGTATTGGATCCCAACTGCACAGTTTTTACAATCATTCACCCGTATGAATTTTATTGAAACTCACAGTTATGTAGCAGTGGATCGAGAGAGCTGTGTATTTTATTGTTTTGAAAATTTAGTGCATTTCAATGCAAATATAACTTCGGTATAATCGAGTTTGCCGACTCGCATTACAAAGTATTAAACTAGTTTAATGCTGAATAGGCAAAGAGATTCGTGTATATAAATGTCTATTTAATATAAAAATGAAATTATCGATAAACCATTTGGAAATCTTATTGTGTAATTTCCATCTGAAATCACAATGCATTTACCGGTTTCGGATGCATAATATTTGATTTGATATCGTTACGAAACCATTATGTTTAATCGAAATTTTGGCAATCTTTGCGATCTCGGTGTATCAAAAAGTTATTTCACGCCATAGAGAGTTTTTTCTGTTCATTCATGCTCGTCTTATGCAAGTGGGCGTCTGGTGAAGGACAACTACGCGGAGCTAACCATATAAGGTTAAGGTGTAGGTAAAATAGGCCTCGCCCTTCACTTTACTTATTAGATCATTACGCCGCTGTCGTGTTGTCTATGCATTTTACACTGCAGTAACTGTAGACCGATAGATTAAAAATCAAACTTATTTTTCTTACTATGTTTATTTTTGAAATTTACAACTCTTAATTTTTCTAGTTGCTGTTTATTTAGAGGGTCGACCACTTTCAGTTTCCTTTTATTTTGTTTCGCGGTTCATATTTAGGAATTAATAACAACCTAAAACTTATAACCTAAGAGCTCACCAAATAGGACATTTCTCAAACGTTCCTTTTTTGCGCGGGATTTTTGATAAAAAAACGCAGCGAGCGATAAACAATGAACAAAATAATGAACTTTTTTTAATGCCAATGTATTCATGACAGTACTCGCACATAAAAGGTAATTTGCGTAACCCTTCTTGTCATGAGGTAAACGGTAGTTGCGCCAAGTTGGTTTTCTAAGTTTGGAACGAACATCGTCTAAGACTAAAATAGCCGTTTCAGTCGATGCCGCAATGATATAACATTTCTCTGGGATAGGCGGCTCATCTTCGCAGACAGCTGTGGTGTCTCCCCTCCGAACTGCTCTTTGTAACTTTTACTGAGGTCCATTACAAACGACTATGATCGCATTATTATTATTTCACCAGACATTCAAAATGTACTCTCCTAGCTGATATTTGGGTGTTCTTATTTAATACAAAAAATATTGACCGACTACAAAGTTCATTGACACGTACATCGTTGTTTTTCATGTTATCACGTACAATAAATAATTAGCTCAATAATTGTGGTAAATGTACTGATAACGGTACGGCGGTTAATACGGTCGAAAGTGAGTAGGACGGGCATTGTTATCACGTCTGAGAAGATCCATAACACAATTAATACTTCAACGCCTTCAGTGGCACTAAGTAACACTACTGACGCTGTCGAGCAATTGAATTAAACAATGTCTATTTTTTCTGGAACAGATACCTATAATTTTGTAATATTAAACGAAACTTTAAATAATTTTTTTTTTTAACAATGGTTCGTTTTACATTTGAACACCATTTATGTTGGGACAATAAATAAAAATTAATCGAAATAATTTACTTATTCATTTCCGTCGTATCTATAAATACCTTTGTGCCTTCTACACGGTAGTGCCCAACACTGCCAACTTGGTGTAAACAAACACATGGTGTAATTAGTGTACGTGTGCGTTTTTTCTACACACCACTTCTTAATTCTTAAACAAACATATTTTTCGGCTGTTTGTTCGGAAATTAACCAACCGTATTGTTTACAAACACTCGACGGATTTCTCTAAGAATATTGCTTAATATAATTTGTCCAAAGTTGAACAACTAGTGTGGACAAAATAAAATGTTTTTTCAAAAATCTATTGAAGGTGCGCTAAAGTAATACCAAAAAAATTAAATATATCTGTTACACTATATGGATTCGGTTGGCAGGTATATTTCTCTGTTAATACACTCAAAATAATATTCGTAAGGAAGCGCTTGAAAAAACAAATGTATACAACACTCATGTTAGAATGCGGTTCAGAAGATGAAATTAAATATGGAATTGGAAATCTGATATTTTAGGGTTCTTTCTAGGTGGTTCAGAAGCAAGACGAAAACTCGACTTAGTCACAAGGTCCTTACAATGAAACGCAATACTATTGTCAGAAATGTTACTCATGGTGAATAAGTGAATTCACATTTTTAACAAATAAAAAAAGTTAGGATTAACAAATAATTACAACTTATTAGTAAGATTTTGGAAATTTGAAAAAAGGTCTTTTCCTAGTCACATTTTTCTAGCTTGTTCAATGTTTATTTATAAATAAAAATACGATAAATGAAAGAGTTACAACACAAAATTCGACAAAATTAAATATAATAATGATTTAATATTTATTTATCGATTTATAAATATTTTTAAACTTCATTTCTTATAAGGGTACCAATTTTATTGTTTTTTATTTGTAATATACATGTATTATTACCTTAAATGTCAGAAAATGATCAAATATAAGAAATAATTGGTCAATAACAATTGTTGAGTCAGTATTTTAGAAATTATAAACACTTAAATACATAGACTGGAGTTGAGATTATAAAATATAAGAGAAATTTAGGTTTTTAGATGTTTATGTCGCACTTTACATAATAATAGTTTTAATAGTAATTTTGACGCGGCATCGAATGGCATGCTGTTTTTATTTGTCTAAATGTACTTTTTCCAATACAAAGTAATTGATTTGAAGATAACTAATTTATTTTAATAGAAACTTGCTTTTTAGTTTTTAGTAAATTGCTCTTATGAAAAATCGTATTTTTGCAAATAGTACGTTTTCAATTGTAACCATTAAATTGTCTAAATAAAAAAATCTATTTCATTATTCTTTATAAATTCAATTTGATAAAGAGTATATAGACAAAATAAAAAAAAAAAAAATTTCGACAAAAAAAAAAGAGCTAAATTAAATTAAGTAGTACAAACATTAAATATCTTAATATTTTAACATCACGTAAAAATCTTAACTTTTTTTTAATAGAAACATAATGCATCAATAAGTGATGTACTATACAATAGAAATAATTAATATTTAGAAACATTTTATTTAGACGTAATATGAATAACAATATTAAGCTTTTAAGTTTATAAAATAAACAGTATGAACTATTCTACGTTAATTTTACTTTAATTAAATTCTAATTTTTGTTCTACATAGTTGCAATTATAACAAAATTATAGTTTAAATAATTATTATCGATATCTAATTAAAGCATACCGTTATAAAAAAAATATTTGTATCTGAATAAAATACAAAACTGTAAGTACAAAAATGAGATAAGTATTAAATAAAAGGTCATTGATTAAATTATATATGCTTATTTTATCTCAGATTTACTACGAAAAATGGTAAATAATTGTAATATGTCTAATTTTTAAGTGAAAAATGAAGTTACGCTTGTTCAATACAAATAATGTATTGTTTTCCTTAAGAACTCAAACAATAATAAATTAAAATATGTTGTATGATCAACTATCTCTTAAAGTCGAATACTCGCTGAATAATTTAAATAAAAACAGAATAAGGATTTTTAATAAAAGAATATACTTACCGTTTTGTTCATATGTGTTTTAGTGTATAGATTTTTCAGTATTTTATGTTTTGTCAGTATTATATTTTATACCTTGACAAAGATGTCCTCAATATTCAGTAGTTCTACTTAAGGTTATTTTTTTCATTTTTTATTATTTGAGCAAGGTCTTTTCAAGTTAGTATTTGTGTGTCGTCTATAATAATAAATAAACAATAGAAAATGGTAACAATCTCAAAATCTATTTGTTAACTTCAATTTTTATTACTGCCGACCGTTTAATAAATCAAGATAGAGATTTAATTACATGTTTGAGCAATTTGTATGATGTGTAGTACATTTTTTTCATGGAACTTTGATAATAATTTCTTTAGTTTTATTTTTTCCTTGTAAAAAACAGCTATATTTGATTTCAAGGCCAAACATTTTATTATAATAACACATTAATTTTACAGGAACGAGCTTTCCTCGTTGTAATAATATTTCATTGCTAGCGTGTAAAAAAATCAACTTTTGTATAATGTGATTAACATTATATTAAAATGTGTGGATTTTATATTCGTTGGGCTATGTCCACATAGTTCAATGACTATGCCACGCTATATGAATGTACTATTTACATAAAATGTATCAAATTTGATTAAGTTCTTCTGTTATTATGAGTTAAAAAAAAAAATACTGAATCAATAAATACTTATGTGTCTATAAAATTGTTAGCTAATGTTATATAAATTTTGTCTATTTTAACATTTAACAACATAGTTAAAAAAAATCACCAAAATGAAATATGTGAAATCAAAGCACATGTATTATAATAATAAATAATAAAAACATTTGGGTGGTTCATTGTAACGATTTGTCTTTCTTATATTCAGATTCGATTTGTAAGTATAAAGTATTGTTATTAGTGTAATGAGCATTGTAGGTTGATTCATTATTTTGTCGATCAAAGACTTGTTGAACAACACTTGGATTTTATCGCACGCGTAATGTGAATATAACCGAGTTTAATAGCCTTGTTACTCAATAAAATCAGTAATGCCGCATAAAATAATCGATTTACAAAAAAAAAACATTTTACTAAGTATTGGAAAGCATCGTCTGCCGCAAGTATATATACATACATAATAAAAGGTTCTTTTAAAACGAAACGCCCTGAAATATACACACAACAGGGTGTGGTTCCTTTGACCTATGCGGGAATATTCTATTTTTTTGCTCTTTCTATTAACTGTAGTTCGGTTACTTTGTTTATCTGCCTGAATTTAATTTATTGCCTTTACTCGGTTAATATTCATTTTTTTTAAACTTGATTTTTTACTGGAAACACACGGCTACAGGAAATTAGGTCACGAACCATTAAATGTTGTCCGGAAGGGACTCTATTGTCTTACGGTTGTGATTTGTTTTCTAAAATGATCACACCAGGATTGACTACTCAATATTTATTGTTAATATTGATAGTTAAATCTTTAACATCAGATATTAATCTTAGAAAATAATTAATAAACATAATTTTTGTTTAGGCCATCATTAATATTTGTTAATAATTAACAAACACAAATGATTCCTATTGAACAATTCTAATAGATCACGTAATGATTAAAAATGATACGAAACATTTTTTTCAATTACTCGTTCAATATATTTGCTTAGTGTAGGTATTATATTATCATGTCAGTTAGGAGCCAAATAAAACAAAGCACATTTCGTTTCATTTATTTTACAACTAAGGTGCCAAGATGTTAGTTTGTTCGACTGTTATAGTCACTTACGCCATCAAGAGGCATTCTTCTATTATTGCATAATTACACACGTGAGGAGTTCAAAGCGCATTAAAAACATTTTATTCTTTTGTATTGCATTAATTTGTTGTCTCTAGAGTCTGTACGTATAAAACAAATTATTAATGACTATTAAGACTATAATGGTTTCTACGTGTATTTAGTATGCGCATTACATTTATCGTATAAAACTTCTGAATATCGCCAAATAGAAATTGCATTAAACATTGAAGTCCACTAGAATTCAAGCTTCAAAAGTTGTTTAAACAGAATGTTTTTTTTATGTTACGCGCGTGTATTCTTTAGAAGATTCAAAGTAATGAATCAAGGTAGGGTCTTACATAAATTTTTATAGGCATTTTACAAAAATCGTTAAAATATATGTAAAAATTACGATGTTGTATATTGTAGACATAAACGTAAACACTCGTCCTTTTGATATGCTCCACTGCATAAATTGTTCATAACTCAGTCAATATGATTTCCTGTGCACATCTAAGGGCTCTTTTGTTTCGGGAATGAATCCATTTGCATAGGTAAATCGTTCAAGTCGGAAATAACGAGCGTAACATTTTCGATTGAGTCGTTTTAATAATGTGCATTGCATGATTATACTTATTTGGATTTTTAAATTTTAGGTTACTAATAGGAGCTCCGGAGGCGCAAACCAATCAGCCCGGAGTTCAGAACGGCGGCGCTGTTTACAAGTGTAACATCGCAGAGGAAACGGACTGCAAGCAAATACCATTCGACACTACCGGTAAGAACTGAAAACCATGTACCCAATAGTACGTTGTGTATTATGCAGCTTGCACCGTGTAATTTACGACTCGTGTTCTTGGATTATGAAGACATCAGTATAATAGATTATTCAAAGTGCCGGTGTTATTTGGACGCTATCCCTTTTCGAAATTGCGCGTATAAATCTTTAGGCGGTACGACCGTGAGAGCGTCGGGGCTCGTTGGAAAATGTAATATGCGAGAAAGAAAAACTCTGTCGTCGTCGTGATCTTCTGTGTATGATTGAACAGATGGCTTCGGAATGCTCGCAACACGGCCGCGGGTCAGGCCGAAGTGAAATTTATTAATATGGAAGCTTGTCGCAAGACGATAGAGGCCGACGGCGACCGGTAATGTTAAAAGGCCGGAGAATCGACTTGAAAATAGAAATAAATATATAGAGTGATAGTCTGGTTTTACAGTCTCTGTAGCTCGTCAATCATGACAACTTAATGGATTTTACGAGCAAAAGAAAAAAATAATACATTTAATGTATTTGGCGAATTACTAAATTGAGTGCGTTTGCTTCTTGTTGGTAATTGATTTATGCAATTGTAAATAACGAGCATCAGTTACGAATCGTTGATCAGTTTCTTTTCGAATAAAACTCTTTTTCTTCGGCAAATTTAATCGTCTAAATCGCGAAACTGATTTAATTTAAATAAACAGTATCACCGTAAGAAGTAAATGCACATGTATTATATTCGCTCAACTAGTTTTTGTTTTTTCATGCGAAATTTCATTAATCTTTGTGGTGGTTTCTGATAATTCATTAGATTTTCAACTGGTATGATATGCTTAATATCGGGTAAACATTAGAATCATTAGTTAGCTTATGATAGATGACACCACAGACGTTCTCGCGGGTGGGAGTAGAACCCTCCATATTAATTTTCCTATTTTAAATGAAGAAGTTTTTTTTTTTTTTACTGGAAAACATGGAAACCTCTATCCATTATGAGACTTTTAAGGGAATTATTTACAGGCAGTCTGTAAATAAATTAATAATTTAAATCTCAAACTAAAAATAACAAATTGAAATCAAAACGGAAAAATATTTTTTGTCGAGTTGTCGAATTTTGGCGACGATTATTAATAATGTGGTATTTGTACGTGATTATATTCTTTAAAGTGATTTCTTCAATATATTTATTGTTTAATTGTTTTTAATAAAATGAGAATAATTTTCAAAGTATTGTTCGACTGCATGAATGTTTATAAAAACAATTGTGCGAGATTTCTCGTTAGTATAGTTTTATGACTAGTATTTCATGGCAGGAGCAAGAAATGAGGTTTACACGATATTAAACGTCTGGGATTTGTCTTAAATAATCTATAAAATTAAACTACATATTTGGGTTTAACATACACAAGTTTTGGAGTTGATTGATATAACCACGTGTTGATGAAATTACTTTTTATACATCTATTATCATATTTTTCTATTCGGATTGTTTTCTATTTAGTACCCTCGTTAAACTCTCCTGATCTTCAACGTCTTGAACCCGCCGTTAAGTTAAAAACGCATGGTCAAAGAGTAAACGGCAATGGGATGTAATGAGTATAATTATATTTACGGCCCATTTAAATACAGCGGTTTCGTGACTATTTTAATGCCGAGCTGAAGATCATCTCACGTACACCGGATTTTAATAAATTCAGTCACTGATTCTCAGGAGACTAACCGGCAAAAAACACAGGATCTGACTGAAATGTTTTGCTACTCGGCGGATCTTGATAAGATAGAAATATACACTGCAAGTCTGAAAGACAAATAATGTACTGTCGTCATCTGTATTCCGTTGTCGTGCGCCATTCACCAGTCGACGGTTTTAAAAAACAACAACCCGGTGTCGGGCATTAATATGCATACCGTTTACCCCCTTCAAACATAAATCTATAGCCACCGTGGTATCTGCGGAATATCTTGAAGCCCATTAAATTTTTCATATTTATGTATAAATGCAACTATTATATGCGTACAATGTAATTTTGGTAATGCGTCTTGCCTCAGTCGAGAGTTTCTATAAAAACAAATTACGGTCGAGTAGGACAATAGCAGCAGATAATGTGATGACATCGATATGATTTAATAATACGAAAGGACAAGATAACATAAATTCATATATCGCTGTGGATAAGTAGCGTTAACGACAAAGGTAAAATTTTAAATACGCGTTTAATAGGTTTTGGAAAATTTAATAGCACTCTTAATGATATTATAACGGCCATAGTGCAAATATCGTTTGTATAACGTTTGAATTAACTTATTATAATCCATTTACATTGTTAAGACTATGAAATTTATTTTTGCTCTAGAAATCATTTTCTGATCGTTCGAGTTCAATTGAAACTAGAGAATCAATAGAAACTTCACTTTTAATTGATTCGTTTTATGTTCATTAGTTCAAATGGGTTACTACTCAAAACGGTCATGCCGTTTATCTAGCCAACTCATCTCGTACGTTTTTATTTTATTTCCATACTTTACGTATGAAACATTTTTACAAATGATTCTGAATAGCTCTGAACTTGTAGTCGGCATACCCAAAGCATGAGAAAATGAATTTTTTTAATCGTCGGAGAATTTAAAGTAGCTTCTGGTTGTCTCAAGTAGTGTATTTAATGTCCACACAGATTAGACCGTAAAGTTATGTATGACAAAAATGTTATTCGTCCAACACATTGGAACAATAAAAAAGAATGAGCTAGCATATATATGTACATATAAACACAATACAAATATATACTCGGATATGTGCTGTACGTAAAACGGCACTGGCTTTAAGGCAAATACGGAACGGCATTCAACTGTCGTCCGATCGCCTTTCCGAACGTATATCAAGTAGAGTACGATTTTTTCTGTTTGCCAGTATTAGATTCCTTTTTTATTTTCGTATTCTTTTTTAATGTAAATTTCGCCGGTAGACGGAGTATATGGGGCAAAGGACAAGAAGAATAGCGTAGTAATAGTAAAAAAAAAAAAAATTTTCTGCAGACCGCCGCCTAAGGAAACTCGTTTCGGTGTCTTCTGCTTCTGTGCCGTGAACGGGTGACGTTTCAACCATAAGGTATAACATGTCCGTTTTATCGAAATGGCGGTGTGCAAAAAAAAAAAAAAATGCCTTTCAGACAAAAACACGAAAACGATTCTGGTGTGCTATACATCAAACACATACGAGACAAATTACAAATTTATTTCCACGGAATCGACCGGTATAACGCATTATTTAATGGTCTTGTATAATGTATTAAATGTTAAGTATCTCAGAATAGTTTTTTTTTTATAATGGATAGATCGACGTTTTTTTTTTATACTATACTGTGTGAATCATTTATAACTTTTGAATTAATGAGACTAATTTTTAACAATAGACCTATTTTATCGAAACAGAGCAAGACTTGTGATTGTGTTATTATTAAAAATATTAATTTTAATGGCAATTTTATAATTTTTGCTATGACTGAAAATCCAGTTTCAGAATATCGATACAAAAGCAATGAGAGTAACTTGAGTATAATTTCTTTAAATAGAATTGTTTATGCATTAAACTAAATTTACATCACAATCCACAATAGTTTATTGTATTTATAAGGTGCACACTACATTAATAAATAGTATGATGATCGTTTTTTAAATCGTGAACTACGGTTAAATTTTATTGTTTATACATAAACTCGTATGTTTAATGTGCGGAGTAAGATCACAATATAAATAGCTAGTCTCAAATAATAAAGTAGCATGAAATTATAGTTCAATGTACAGTTTCATATGATTATTATTTATTTTACCGTTTCTATTATTTTAATAGTCAAAGTCAATTGTGATTGATTTATTATTTTACAACTTGGTGAAAATTATTTTGTCGCAGAAAATCAAAAAGTAAAATAATAACTGATTTCATCTACCTACGAGTAAATTCTTAGTAGCGAAAAAATCTATCGTCAGTGTAGTACAATAAAAATCTTAGATTAATAGTAATTGTGACAAAAATAGATTCTCAAATGGATAATAAAAAAGGGGTTTAACCCTCAAAAATAATGTGGTGACTACCGTGTGAAATACCACAAAAGTACCCTGCACATTATAAAATTAATTTTCCAGGGTTACCCTATTTCATAGTTCTATTTCTTAGTCTCCTCTCACGTTGACAGCTGAAAATTGATGGTAGATTGTTTTTTTATTCGGGTAGATAACACATGGAGGATTACCATGAATGTGACAACTATTTTCTCTTATGATTTACAATAAAAATTTTTTTACTTTTCAGTATTATAATTTAAAAATTTATGATAAAGCAAAAAATAATTAACATTTTTGTTTTTATATTTTACACAAGAGAAATATGAACTTAAAATTTTTAAAGTAATTTGTAAATTGTTCTCATATTTATATTAATATAAATATTAAATAATAAATATTAAGCCGCCACATATTATAATGCGAATAAACGTATTGCCGAAAATTGTATAGCTATTTGTTTGATTTAGCTTGTTAAAATAGCATTAAAAAGTAGTAAATTATAGTAATACCATTTAGTAATGCGCGTGGAATTACACGGAATGCATTATAAATTAGAATTGACGTCTCGCGTGACAAGTTATAAGAATTGATAATATTCTGTTAATGATTTGACATGCAAATAAAATAAAATGTCTCTGCATACTGTATTACGTTTTGATCAACCTCGGGGTTGTGTTTCATGTGGTAAGAATTGTCAGGGTATCATATGCCGTGCCATATAAAACGACGTATGTGACAGTTTGTGTGATTACTTATAACTAGTTAAAATAATGGTTGGATAACCTCGAATGAAATTATAGGACTCATAGAAAACTAGAGGAATCGGAATAGAAAAAAAAAACACTTGTCGCCGCGCACGGTAACGGGCCTGTGGACGTATAACATTATCATCCGGATGCTTAGACGTTTCTAAGCAAACAAAACTTCTTTTTTTATTTATTCCGAGTACGTAATACTAGTTGTCCGGTTAAGGAAAAGCGCATTCTGAGAAGATAGAGTTTAATGTATAAATATAAATGTGTATAATGTCATATATGTTGACTTTGTGTGTGAACATCCACAAGTGGTTCGGATGCTGTTGCTGTTGAACTTGTATTTATCTAGTTAAGTTCTTTGGCGTTAAAAAAACATATAGACGAACGCTTGCATATTATGCTACGACAAGTAGTGCAGTACAGTCTCAAAGAGGGTAAATAGAAGGAAAGAGACAGAGAAATAAAGACTTGCCTATATTTAGGTATTGTTTTTTTTTTTCGATAGACCTTCACGCGAGTCCATATCTGACCTATTACTACTATATTTCTATAGTTACAGCATTCGATTATTAATTTTGTCGCCATATCAGTGGCTGGTTACAATAACTGACGAGTAGACTCGCAGAAGCGCGGGGGAAGTGAACAATATATAGTATAATATAGAAGCCTTATGACTATTCATCTATTGTTTAGCAAATTGTTATTGTTATAACTGGTGACCGTGTCAATGGCTCTTATAAGTCTTAACACCTATGACCCAGCAAAAAAAGTTACATGGAAAAGGTTGACCGTTTAAGTTCCGCTGTGCATATTTCGTTTTAGAGATTTATCATTGTACGGGCACACGATATCTTTGCGTGCTCATTGATACAGTCGGAAAATAGAATTTCTATTTCGGATTGTCATCGCACTTCCATTAAATAATACTAGATGTGAAATATCTCACCGTGTTAGCATAAAAACAGATCTACATTGGATAATACATTGCCAGTTATCTAGTGTTGTATGAAAAATTACCTGTGAATACATACGTACAACTCGTTAGTAAGCTGCAGCCAACTACATGGGAATTATCATCTAATCTTTGTTGCGCGTGGGTGCTGTATAAGAACCTATGATATCTATGAACAGACAACTTAGTGGGTTACGCATATTTTAAAGATTTCAATATGTGATTTCACAGTAAAAAACTAACATGAAAAAAAAAGAAACAAATAGAATGAAGTATAAATAATATACATTTATGTATATGGAATACGCGATAAAGCTAAATCAAGAATTATTTGCAATTCGCAAAATCTTTATTTTCAATCGAGGATCGATAAAAAAAGACATTTAATCTCGTTTTAATGTGTTCAAATGATACATTTAGTACCATTTAGTTTAAACGTTGTTCAAATTATTCGTCTTTATATATTTGTGATTACGGTTAAATTTTTTCAATAGCTTATGTGTTATTATTGTGGAAAATAATGTATAGTTTAACAAAATGCTTTCTATACAGACAGGATTAGTATGTAATATTAGTAATAACTAGAATTTTTTTATTCACGAGTTATATCAACGCTATTTGGTACCGCTGTACCAAATAGCAACATGTGCGAGTTATTGTCTTGTGAATTGACGTTGATAAAATAATGGTTAATTTTATCATAATTTTAAATTCATCGATTTGAATTTAGTTGATACTGTTGTGTAATTATTAATATCTACTTTTGTGTTATTTTATAGGACCTAATAGATTGAGCAATTCGAAAATAATCGATCAGAAATCAAATCAATGGTTTGGAGCCACTGTGAGCAGTTCTGGGGAAAATGGAGTAGTTTTGGTGAGTTCAATGGCTTAATTTTTTATTTATTATACTCGAGTAAGTTCTCAGATGGATTGTACAAAATACCGTGTGTTCAGATTAAACGTTTATTTCCAAACGATCCATTTTACTATTTTACTTTGATTAAGTCCAATTAAAATCTCCCAAACCAATTATAGAGCATATAGCCAGTCCGTTTGAACAAAGTAAACAGACTACAGTAATTGTTTAAGTACGTTAAGTGACTCATTTGAATATAACGCTACCTATTTTATTAGCGGTTATTTTTTTGTGTTCAACATTACAATTCATTTTACCAAACTTTGATGACAAGTACTTGATTATTTTTTTTTTTATAGTCGGGCCGTTGTATTAATGACAGTAGATTTGTACTAATGTATACTACGACTCAAAAAAGTGAGTCGTCGATGAAATATGTTTATTCATTGAACGGGGCTAATGAAGTATTAATATTCCACTAGCTGTAGGTATAAGTGATTTATTATTACGAAATTTGTCATGGGTTCAAAGGTTTTTTTTTACCCACCCCTAGTGGCTAGCGGCTACTACAATCAATCAACATGGACAATTTGTATCCGAACAATTTGTATTTTACTTCTTCAACACAATTGCGTTCGTAATTAAAAATCGTCTAATATATTTTTGTTCTTCAAGCTTATAGACATTTTTTGCAGCATTATTCCTCTGATACACCATAAGAAATACTTGCGTAATGTTTTTAATTAATATGCTTAATTACCTAAAAACTGTTCAAATCGCTTACTTATATTTGATAGCAGTCCAGTATACTGGAGGTGTATTTTTGTTCGCTGTGTTCAATTAAGTTTAAATTGTTATTACTTAATCGGTTTCTACCGCTGAAACCTACGCGTTTAATTTATGTTTAACTGAATGTACATATTTTTCGTTGATTAGGTATTTATTATCGTGTGAATCAAACAAATTCAGTATTAATTGTTTGTAGAAATATTTTAAAGATTTATTTATCTAATAAATCGGATATAAAATTAAAAACGATTAAGGGTTAAATTAATATAGTAAATGTTATAAAAAAAAGTTGAAAATTGTAATAATATCTCTTCAACAATTTAAAAATCGTCAATTAACTAGGATAATAAAATATAATTCCTCAATTATATTTAGGTTTAAAATATTACAATTCTATTTTTAAAACCTATATACATAAGCATTGCCTGAAAATTAAGATATTAATCTCTAATCGTTACCTAAAAAATTTAATATTTTTTTGATTGTAGTAAAGAAAGTAGAGCTACGATAAGAATTTGTATAGAAAAATTTTATTATGAATTAGAATACGAACTTTATTTTATTTATATTAATCATCAATTATTAATGAAATTTTAATCATTTAGCTCGATCATTTAATTTTAATTACTTTTCATTGAGATTTTTTCTTCGATAACATGCAAATTGATATTTAATTGCATTTACTGAGAAATCACTGTATAAGTATGATACCAATGCATGTTTTCTCACGCTACCTTCGTTTTAACGATTACACATAAAAATGTTTAGTTCAAGACAATATTCGAAATCACGTAATATTAAATAAATAAGATAAACCTAAATGTTAAAAAATATAATACAATAAATAATTAATTTGGGATTAATTCCATTATTAGAGCAATTATTTACACATATAGAGAAAAATGCTTGATGAGAATTTACTTGTTAATTATTATAATGAGATACAATAGGATACTGCATAAATATTTTTACTCCACAAATCTTACATAATATACTAACGTTTAAACATTTAAAATAACTGTTTATACTTTTAATTAATCATGAAAATTACAAACGTATCTATTTAATGCATAAAACGAGGTGGTTAGCTGATGAGCAATTGTATCAAATGAAAAACAATGCAATATAATAGATTACACTTGAATGTTAGACAACATATTATGTGTAGGACTGTGGTACACATAGCCAGCACGCTTCGATTTAATTATAGAAATTAAATACGAGCTGCGTTAATTCTTTTCCAATTGCTTTTGTTCTCTACCCATATAATATTCTTAATGGATCATTTCAATGTAGATAATATATAAAAGAAAGTAAAGGGCGCACGGGTGTGTAGTCACAGAGGTCTAAAGAATTTACAACAGCTTGGAAGCAATTTATACGACGCGTCTTGAACATACTGAAGCATCGATAATTTTCCACAGACTTGTATCTAGTACATGAATGTAATGCTTACACATTCTTAACACTCTTTTCGTATTATGTGTGAAGTAATTAATACTTACAACACCGGGTGGTATTAGATTCACACGTTTATGTACCTATTTCTCGACATTTAGTCTCAACGGTATTCACAACTTTGTAGGATATAAAGAACCTCTTGCCGCCTGTAATCGATATTTTATCACATTTTTCTATTGGTAGAATTATGATTATAAATCCAAAATTTTAATAGTTAGGAAGTTATCATTGGGTATTTTTAACTGGTAATCGAAACAACCGGATTAAAAGTAATTGTTTAATTTTGCATTGACGATTAAATGTTATTCTCATCCACAAAAAATAGCTGTTAAATATATAAAGTTGCAATAAAATGGAAAAGTAACAGTTGTATTAAAATTAAAATTAATTTGATTTTTTTAATTAGTCTATCATCTGACAATATACACAACCTATTAAATAAAAAGATGCAACTATTGGATTGGTCGAGGTTAAAATGGATTGTAAGGCGATCATGTCACACGCCTCGAGCTATTTGAGTAGACCTATCAATGTAATGTTTATAACGACATAAAAGGAAATGTTTTTTGTCTTTCCTCGTTGTATTCACTATTTACACGGCCCAAAGAAAAAATAACTAAGATAACTCGAGATTTATTCAAATAAATCAGAAAACCAATAAATATCAACAAACATAAGTTGATATTGCTGCATTCGCGCAAGATAGTGTGATCGAAGAAAAAAAATATCCCAAGAACGTCGTGATTGTCGTGCAAAAATATCTCTTGAAGTATAAGTTTTCAACTAAGATACATTATACGGGAGTCATTCTGTGACAAATTGCAGTAATAAATAACTTCAGGATTTCCATCTCCATCTTTTGATAGTCGTTTATGAGTATACTTTTCTGAATATATTTTATTTGAATTTTATAGAAATGAATCACGTAAACAAAAGTTATTTAAACGAAATCATTTTAAATTGATTTAAAATCAATTAGTATTTTAGTACTAAATTAGTACTTAAAATTAAATTGTACCGTCACTCGTAAAAAAATATGTTATAAAAAAGTTGAACAATCAAAACTATTTTTTTTAATACACTATCAAAGTTTTAATTATCAATTAGTGTGTTTATTTTTTAGTTATAATTGTGACAATGTCATAATATAAGAATAACACAAAATTTAAAATATTAGGATCACATATCGCACGAACTATATTAATTTAGACTTATATTTGTTTATTTCGTTTGATGGTTTTCTATTAATTCATCTTTATTCTGGATAATATTTTAGTATTTAAATAAAAAAAAATTTATCTAACTTCTGTTTTACTTCTGATCGAGTGACGCATGTAGCAAATTATCCAGTGTGGGCTTTAGAATGTGTAGATTAATATAATATTGAGATTCTTAAAACCGGAAAGGAAACACCCACACAGGTATAACATTATACAGAGATGCAGAATAAAAGGCACAGCTCCAAATTTGGAAATGTCTAACGGAAAACGAAATGCTTAAGTTACAACAATAATATAGACTCTCAACGGCCATGATCGTGACCGGTAAACGAGTACAACGTATTGGTTTTATTTGATCTCAGCCAGATGAAGTTAATCACTAATGTCAATCCTAAAATCAGAAGTTTTAGAAAATTAAGTGATCACTAATGTAGTTGTAGTCATAAAAGGAAAAGACAAGAGGTGAAAATGTAAAAATAAATTACTTACCGGTTAATAACTTAATCAAAGTTTGGGCCGCCTAGGAATTCTTTTTTTTATGCCCGACTGGAGTCATTGGACGCTAATATGTCTTACATGATAAAGGTTCTGTATGAATAAAGTGTTAATAATAGTTGTATAACTTATATTTATACAAATTGAATATATATAACTTTGAAAAGACTATTAAATTATAAGAAATTGAGTACTTAAAATCTTTGGAAATTTATTATGTATAATACCAAAATCACTTTACCCTTTGAGTAATTTTGAAAGTAAATATTAAATAAAAAAGTATAGAATTAATTAGTCCAGTTATGTGTATGCAATACAATATAGATGTTTATTGAACATATTTATTAGTTTTTTTTTTCATTTAAATATTTTTTTATGTAGATTAATCATCAAATTATCTTATTATACTAATATTAATAATTTTTATAACATCATTCGGTAATATTTATTCGCTAGTAGTACTCGGTAAAAGTTAATTACGTACCTCATGAAAAATGTTTTTTTTTTTACATGAAATAATAATAACTAAACAAGACCAAATTGAGATGGAATAGTATTTATTATAAATGGTCTCATTTTGTTCTCGTAACGATCAATTAATCAATGTCTCAAAATCTAAAAAGGCCTATCTGGCAGGAAAGAATATGTATAGTAATAATAATTTAACGGAACTAACATTGTTACATTATGCTCACTCATACATTGCAACATATTTGGTCTGAGATCTAATTTGTCCAGGATATAAGGCCAACTCGACTAAATGGAATCAAAACACGGCAATCATTATTTTTTTTTGTTATTAGTTTTATAAACGAAGATGTAGCGGCTAACTGTTTAATAAAACTAGCGCGGGAAGTAAAGATGAGTACACAATTAAAGGAAATTGCTTTATTTTTCGTTCCAGGCATGTGCACCAAGGTATGTGTACTATTCGAGTTCCGGAGCCAGGAAAGATCCCGTAGGAACGTGTTATACAACCAAAGACTTCAATAAATTCAATGAATATTCACCTTGTAGGACAAGTAAGTAAATATTTCGGGTTTAGATGCTCTAACTAAAATTATTGTTATTTCTTCAAAATGGAGTAGAATTTATACGAATTACAATGAATAAGTTTATATTTGTCAAGTCAGTTTTTAATTGTTATATTTATCCGAGCGTTGCACTTGACAGAAATTCCACACCATCAGCATGTAAGACATTTTATTTCCTACCTTATTTGGATGAAACTCGCTAACAATAATATTATTAAACATTAATGCGTCGCGCATACAAAATATTGTTTACATGTGATATGAAGTTAGAAAATAAAAATAAGTTATTGATTATATTCATATTTCAGATAAATAAAATTTATTTATCTAAATGATTATTGCAATAGTAATTTCTTGTTTAATACACTTAGTTGAATATGATTTAAATTAAATAATAATTAGAATAGTTTGGACTGAAAAAGATTCTGCTTTGATTCCTCACTTATTTTCTATAGTGATAGATGAAATTGCTAGAGAAATACAAGAAGAGGTACCGTGGTGCATGTTCTTCGTTGATGATATAGTGTTAATAGGAGAAAATGGGGAGGGTATTAATCAAAAGCTAGAGGTGTGAAGATCAGTTCTTTAAAGTGAGGGCTTAAGAATAAGTAGGAGTAATATAGAGTATATTGAGTACGAATTTGACAAAGAAGAACACGAAGTAAGTGAAATGAAAAGATCAGTGACAATAAGGAAGACGTTATAGGAGAGGTGGATGAGTGAAGTGACTAGAGAAGATATATAAGAGATTAGGATAATATAACATAAGAGGAAGTATAGATGTAGCGTCAATCGTGGATCACATGAGAGAAAATTGACTTTGATAAAATTGATATAATTTAATGTCTAAGTAAAATTAGTAAATAATATAACACGAATGTTTTTGTTTTTTCAGGGAATTGGGGTCAGCACAAACAGGGTTCTTGTCAAGCTGGTCTCGGGGCATCCGTTTCTAAGGTATGAAAATGGAAAACTGAAATCTTTAAAATAATTGGTATAAAAATAATATATTTTTGGGGGATTTGTTTTAGGATGGTCAACGCTTATTCATTGGTGCCGTGGGCAGCTGGTTCTGGCAAGGTTAGATAATTTTACAAGAGTTACGAAATATTATCATTCTTTAATTTAAATATTATTATAATAAATTTTTTATCTTAAAATTTTTACTAGCAATTTATGTCATTATTACTTTTATATCTACTTTTTTATGTATGTATATTTGTTTTTTATCTATGCCAGGTTAGAAAAGATGTGCCTCCTATGCATGCACTGTTATTTTCACAATTCGGCATGTAGTTTTATACGTTGCTTTTTGTCTGAATATGGGCTCATATCCATTATGACCGTTTCCGTATAAAGTATCTCCCTCTTGTGAATATGCCAATTTATCCTATGCATTATCTATTTATTTGTTATTGCGATTGTATATCATAAAACTTGGGCATGTTTATTCGTTTTTGGGGCTTTACATGTTTAGTATATAAATTTTTATTTGTAAAACATTATGTTTTTAATGTTCTTTAACAGGACAATTATACTCAGTCGACTCGAATGCTCGGCTGCCGTTTACACCAACAATAGAGATGTTTGTATTCAACGATCTTGGCCAAGGTAAACTTGCATTTGGAAATGAAAATGAACCAAAAAATTTCCACAGAAAATCGAATATGATAATAACATTTTTAACACTGGACTTGAGACCATTATCCAATTTTTAATAATTTATTTCAAATTAATAACTGGTTGTCTTAACATTATTGCAAGTAGAGAATTCATGGGTGTTATAAATTTTCATTTGTAAGAAATTGTACACCATTAGGTGAAAAACATAGTAGATTATTTACCTTAAAGAATTATCATATGAACAACATAAAATGACACCTATGGATTAGTTACAAATATGAAATTGTTTTGACAATACTTAACGGTTTCAAGTCCTTTTATTTGAATAGCATGATTTATACTTGGGTGATAGTCCAAAATTTTTTGTTACTTAATGAATGAATGCTAGGAAATTGACTTCAGTTTGCTTTGCTTTTCTTAGCTCTTAGTAATTATTGCTAGTTGATTGTGTTTGTATGTTTGCTTTAATATTCATATCTTCTAATCTGTTTTTATAGTGATGTTTAATTATTAATTTACAATCTTTCAGAGAACAAGACGATAATAGTTAATAATAGATAGACTAGTTAGTTTCTAATGTTACACCTCACTGTATTGCACATCTATAACTTGTATAGGATGTTTCTGGCACGTAAAAACGTCATGTGCATACTATTTTCTTCAAACTAGAAAATTGAGTATGGAAAGAGAAGAGATAATAAAAAAGACGTTAAGTCCGGCGCAGGGCTTAAAACGAACATTCTATAAATGGGTTGCAGTCGTCATAGAGACAGGTGTACGGCCCTTAACATATGTTCATTAACAACACGTGCGCAACCAACGACAGTATCCGTGATCCGTCGTGCATTCGAAACATCCTGTACCAAAAATATACATTAATATTACTACAGATAAAACGAAGATTTAATAAGACTCATGTATTAGGGATAACATTTACTAAATTTCTTTTTTTGAAGGTGGATTATATTTCTAAAAGAGAGAGTTTAACTTCAATTTTAACTTTTACTAAACTTGGATTAAGGAATAATATTATAACTATACTGCGTAAACAAAATTAAATAAATTATAAATAATTTACTATAGGTCAAATTTATGTTCAAAACGTGTACAGTCGTCCTGATGTCATTTTTTCAAACGAAGGTCCACCGACTGACGATGATTCGTATCTCGGCTACTCAGTTGCAACAGGAAACTTTGGATTTAACTCTGAATCCGGTACTGCAGTTGGTGTTCCTAGAGGAGCCGGCCTCTTGGGAAAAGTAAATTTTGTTTATTTGAAAATGTTTTATTCTGCATTGTTAATACAATTTATTATTTATTTAGGTTGTTCTATATAATACAAACCTAACCAATCTCTATAACATCACTGGCGATCAGATGGGTTCTTACTTTGGTTACTCTATTTGTGTATCCGACGTAGATGGTGATGGTGGTGATGACATTATTGTTGGAGCTCCACTGTACAGTGAATATATGAAAAACGACGGGTCCTATGAAACTGGCCGAGTGTACGTGTACTTAAAGCGTGAGGTAAAAAAAAATAAATAACTATTTACTTAGGTCACAACTCAACCCACACAAAATGTTCTCATTTTATAATTTATTTAAATAATTTTTTTTTCTTTCCCTTATAAACGGATTCATGTAAACTTCAAACAATAAACTTCCTTTAGACACTTTACATGAAGTAAAAACAATGACTCGCTTAAACTAAGTTTTGACTTTAAATACTTATTTACGTTGTATTAACAATAGTTTAAATTGATTATTTATGATCTTTTTACGTTAGTGATTTTATAAATATAATTTTTACTAATAGGGTTACAGATTCTATGAAAGAAATACCAGAATGGGTATTAACTCAAAATCACGTTTTGGATTGGCTCTTACAACGTTAGGAGACATCAATAGAGATGGCTACGGTGGTAAGTAATTTTTTAAAAAAAACAAATATCTATTATGATTTATTAAAACAAACAAATAAATTATTTTATAAAAAAAAGAGCTTAAACTGACTTTAAGAACTTTTAATTATAAGATGTTTCACATTATAAGTAACAATTTTACTTAATATTACAGATTTTGCTGTCGGGGCTCCATATGATGGTCTCAATGAACTTGGTGCAGTATATATTTACCATGGAACTAGAAATGGTGTTCGAGAAAAGTATTCGCAAGTGATCAAATCTGAAGACGTATATTACGGACGAACTGTGTCTACATTCGGGTTTTCTTTAGCCGGTGGTATGGACTTGGATAACAATGAGTATCCCGACTTGATAATCGGTGCTTATGAATCAGATACAGTATTCTATATGAAATCACGACCAGTAGTTCAAATGTCCAATACGATCGAATTTCAATCTCCCTCAAAACAAATTTCATTGGAAGATAGAGGTTGTTTGACTAAAGATGGAAGTTCGGTACCTTGCCTTTACTTAAAATCTTGTTTAAAGTACACTGGATTAGGAGTAGATGAACAATTGAGTGAGAACAATAAATAATACTTTCAACAAGATTTTGAATTAGAATAAAATCTAACTTCTTATTTGATTTTACTAGACATCGAATATCAAATTATTTTGGATTCAAAAAAATCAAAAGCACCAAGAATGTTTGTGAATGGCGAAGAAAGCATTTTTATGTACAATCGTAGTTTGACTTTGAATAAAAACACGATTGAATGCCCTAAAGTTTTAGTATTCTTAAAGGTAAATATAAATATCGAATAAGTAGTTTGAATTTTTTACATTTTTTTTTTCATTGCAGAATAATATAAGAGATAAGCTAACACCATTAGAAGCTGAATTGAGATATAGAATTATTGAAGATACTAGAAAGTTCACTACAACCCTACCGCCAGTTTTAGATCTCGAAAATGAGCTTTACGCTGTTTCTAGAGATTCTATTATGATACAAAAGAATTGTGGAGATGATAATATTTGTATACCTGATCTTCGTTTAATAGCTAAATCGTAAGAAATAAAATTTTTAACTATAATGTTTTTTTTATTATTAAAAATTTGATTTTTATAGTAACGTGGAGACCTTTTTACTTGGGTCTACTGAGAAAATAAAAATTGATGTGATAGTTCAAAATGAAGGCGAAGATTCGTTTGAGACTACGTATCATATGACCATACCTCAAGGTATAAATTACGTTAAGGTAGAAAGGATGAGTGACAATGACAATGATATACCTGTTCAATGTTCAGCCCCGTCAGTTTCGACAAATCATACGTTGTTGTGCGATATCGGAAATCCACTACCACGATCGAGATATGTTAGTAACTAAAAAATTATTCACATAAAAACAAATATTTATGATGTACTTTCTCGAATAACTATGAATAATTCAATTATTCGTTTTATCCATATCTTAGATATTACTCAAATATTTACTCATTTAATTTTATGTGATTTAAGGTCCAATTTAGAGTTATTTTGGAACCGTATCAGACAGCTGAGGGTAAAGCCAGGTATGATTTCTTCATTGCTGTTAACAGTACTAATCCAGAAAATTCCATATCTATGTCTGACAACGCAATCCATTTGGGCGTGCCCCTTTGGGTAGAGACTGATTTGATAATTGAAGGAACTTCAAAACCTGAAGATGTTCATTACAATACTACATCAGAAGATGTTATAGACATAAAAGAAGAAAAACAAATTGGACCACAAGTAGTCCACTTATACGGAATTCGGAACAAAGGACCTTCAGATATACTAGAAGCTGAGGCTTATATTGATTGGCCATTATATACATTAAATGGTAATTTACGTTGAATTGATTGCAAAAATAAATTTTTTATTTCTTTAAAAAATTATAATATAATTATGTATTTAAATATCCGATGCCGAAAAATACAATTTCTAGCTCGTAGACTACATAAAAAAATCTTTCAATATTTAATTAAAACTTACATACACTTATAATAATTTATGTTTATTTATTAACAATAGTTATGTTTTTAGGTGAACCATTGTTGTATCTTTTGGAAATGCCAGAAACAATAGGCCCAGTAAAATGTCAAGCCATGGAACCAATTAATCCGTTAAAAATTAGTGTTAGTATTATACAATTTTTATTGTATTCTTCATTTTTTTGAAAACGTTTTGTAAGTAAATTGTGGTTTGCAATAGGTCGATCGTATGAGAAAATCTTACTTTGAATCAAGTGGTTTAATATCTAGTGGAGCACCTGGTACTACTACTTACACAGGTCAAAGTTCTAGTTCAAGTTCAAGCACAGTTTTCGGTTCAAGTTCAAATTCTATTTCGAGCTCAGACTCCATTATAGTAAAATCATTTTCAGAATTAACCGAAGAAGAAAGGAAACGTTTGGTTGAGTTACAAAAAAAAGACGAAGAAGCAGCAGAAGCTGAAAATGGCGAAGGATCTTATGTACAAAACACTAGGTTCCATAATTTAGAATCACAAGGTGGTGTAACGCATGTTGAAGGTCAAAAGATTAGTGGAAGTTCTACAGTTAATGTAAATCGAGGTTCTAGTTTTAATGCGGGTAGCCCGACCCTTGATTTTGGCCGAAATTCACACGAATCTAGTGGTGCTTCTGTTAATACACAAACCTTACAACAAAGCGGTTTTAGTTCGCAACCTGGTGCATCACAGAGTAGTAGCAGCGAAGTATCGCGTTTTTCATCCAGTGGCAAAGTAAACGGTAATTCACAAGTATATGGGGCTTATGGAGAGGCACATTTTGATGAATCATCGGGATCTTTGGCGTCTGGATCTTCATCATCTCGCTTTGAATCAGGAACACAATTACATGGCTCGTTAGGTGGTTATAATCAAGGACTGACTGACAGCAAGACTTGGGAAACATCAAGGTCAAGCTTAAATTCAGCTAATATAGGATCGAATCGGGCAAGTGCAAACCAAAATAGTTACAATAAAGAGGTGTCAGCTGGTAAAAATTGGGAGGCTTCTTCTAGCGCTTCTCAAGGTAATTGGAACGAAGGCAGTCGCTGGGGAGTAGGTGGTAGAAATAATTATTCGAGCTTCCAGGAAACAGAGAAAAGTCATATTATTAACACCACATGGGACAGTGCTTCATTACCGTCAAGGACTTACATAAAAGATCAATGGAGAACTAATAATGATGGTCACATAAGAAATGGCAGTTTAGTTCGTGTTGAGAATGGAGTCTTAGATTATAACGATGCTTTAAGAAAGATTAATAATGGTAACAGTTTTTCCAACGTAGTTACTAGCATACCAGGAGATGACAGCGATTTATCGTTGACTTTAAGTGGCGTTAATGAACATCAAAACAGTGGATTTAAACAATCAAAAATAGACGAAAGTGAGACTGTTCAAAGGTATAGAACCGTTGATGGCAAACTGTATAAAGTAAATAACGTAGATGATTGGCATTCGTTGACATCAAAAGACACATCGACTCAAGTGTACGAAGCCCAAAATTATTATCCACAAAATTATAGAAAACCAACAAATAATAATGGACAAGATGTAGAAGGAAAATTTAAATTGTATACAAAGTTCAAAAGAAATGTAGAAAAAGCAAAGAAATGTGGACCAACTAAATGTGTGACGGTCAAATGTACTATTGGCCCATTATCGAAAGATCAAGAGGTTTGGTTATCGTTTAGATCTAGAGCTTGGATTAGTACCTTAAAAAAAGTAAATAAATTAAAATTATATTTTTTTATTATTTACATTAAATCTTTTTTTCGGCTGTTTTAAAGGTAGCGCCTAATAGACAAGTAAAATTGAGTTCAAAGATATCATCACAAGTCACTAAACTTCCATACATAGGGAAACCAGATAATAAATTAGCCCAGGTTAGAAGCCATGAAGTGTTCACTAATGTCATTCCGATTGATCTCGGTGGCAAACCAGAAATTATCCCATTGTGGATTGTTGTTTTAGCAGCCGTTGTTGGAACTGCAATATTGTTGTTATTAGTGTTCCTGCTTTATAAGGCAAGTTTATTTCATATACTTTAAATGGCTTATTTAGTTTAATAAATAATTGTATACGACCATTTTGCTTTAAATTAATAAATCTAGAGTACTAGATAAACTGTTATTAATAAAAAAAAATGTTTTATTTTAGTGTGGTTTCTTTAAACGAAATCGACCATCAAATGCTCCAGAAAAACAACCACTTACTCATAGAAATGGACAATCTGAACTTTACCAAACTGGTGATGAAGCTCTATAAATTATTTAATTATACTCAACATTAATTCAATTCAAATCGAATTATTAATTGCCATATTAAACCACCTAACTATTATTAATTTGTTATAATTTATTTGTAAATATTTAAAATTATTATTTATAATATGGTTTATCTTATATGTATATAATAAGTATGTTTGTTTTCGTTTCATTGAAAAATTGTAAATTATAGTTTTAATGTATATTAAATTATAAAAAAAAAAATTAACTGTACTTAGAAAAAAAATTGTTTTATAGACAAATGATTAATAAATTGTTTTAAATTTAACGCTCTAGTCTAAAAGTAAGTATTAATGCTATGAGAATTTACAGTTTTAATTAACATTCAGATAAAATATTAGTACTTAATCTTGAAGATATGAAATTAGAATGCTTATGACATTTAAAGTATTTTTAACATTTCAATAACGACTGATAATTATTGTTTTTATATATATATATATATATAAATAAAATAAAATAAACAAATGTAAATAAAAATAATATATTACAGTATTAATTTATTACATGTATTATAATCACACAACAAATTCAAATGAAATGAATCTCAGACTAGTAAAAAAACATTATCATAATTTACTCATAGTAGTGAAGTTAATTAAAGAGCTAAATTATTCATTGACAATTTGCTTCATTGCTTTATCTATAGTATCATAATCAAATTTAAACCCCATTTCTAGTGATTTCTTTGGTTTAACATTTTGACCATCAAGAACCATAGTTGCTCTTTCTGGTCCATATGCTAAATTAAATAGAATTCCAGGAAGTTTAAAAAAAGCTGGTCGATTCAATGCTTTAGCAAAACTTTGGGTGAATTCAGAGTTGGTAATTGTCTAAAACATTCATAGTAATCATTTAAAGTAATTATTAACAAATATATTTACAATATAAATTATTAAATAATTATAAACTAAATATAAATTATAATGAACAATTTTTATATCTTGATATAATTATAATGTTTTTGATATTAATAAAAAATAAATATGTATAATAAAAAACACTGTTGAAGTTACCAAATTTTAAGAAAGAATACATTTTTTCTTAAATTGTCTTATAACTCACAACATATTCATGTTATTCACACTATTACATAATGTCATCTAAATGCAAATATTATGAAAATTTATGATTTTTTCATGATGAATTTTCATATATCAATGACAACACAAAATTACAGCTTTAGTATGATTCGCAAATTAGTTATATTCCAATTAATAAATAGATTTTAATAAAGAACTGGGGGTTATAAAAAAAATAGCTAGATTTAATGAGTATAACGAAAACATAATCTCAAAAATAGTCAAAGAAAAAGATTTAATGAAAAAATGAGGGCAGTTAGTACACTCACTAGCGTGGGGGAATAAAATGTAATTAGATTACTCATTTTATATTATTGGAGAATTTCAAATGAAATGGTTAGAATTTTCAAGAATTTTGATATTACTGTAGTAACTTCTAAAAGTAATAATTTAAGAGATTTTTTAGGTAACCCTAAGGATAAAGTAGAAGACTGGAGAAATTGGGCAGTTCGCTATGCGCAATGAATAATGCAGAAACTCAAAAAATTGATTTAGAGATTATAAGGTATTTAAATTTAAGTTTTACTCTTCTTATAATAACTTTCATAGAAACATTGACAATTTGAATTGAATCAGAATTAAACTAAAAAAATTTATATACATATAGGGTGTAATCGAAGAGTAATTTTTATTTTCGTTATCCTGAAATGTAAGAAAAAGTGAGTTACTTCCTTATTTGTTGCACATTTCAAGTTATAAAATATAATATGAAAGTTGTAATAAATGTTACATAGCACAAATAAAAGAAATATAAGGGTCAGATTTAAAGAACAATTAAGAAACATTAAAAATTAAAAAGTTGATAAATCTCTTGTAGCTGTATAATTAATGACATATAATCACTCCATTAAAATCATAAAACTAATTAAAAACGTTCATAAGTACAAAGAACTTAATAGAAAAGAGGCTATAGAAATATTTTAAAAAAATTAGAATAAATTAATTAATTGGCCTATTGAAAAATTATTAAACTTATGTAATCTAGCAAAATGTGATATTTTTCAGTTATTGTCAATGTGTGTTTAGTGTTGATAATGGTAACAATATCCCTGAAATATATATCCGAAATTTTTTAATAATTTTTTTTAAAGCTATTTAAGTTAAATATTTTTTAATTTAAATTAAAATTTTTAATATAATTTTAATTTTAAATAATTAGCCCCAAGTTATCAATTATTATTATAAAAACCCATAGTTTGACAAAAATCACCATAAAATGTTTTTTTTCCAAAGAAATTTTAAACTAATTTTCTAGTTTAAAGTTAATGCTAACTTTTTCATTAATTAGTATAATAATAAATTTATAAAACATTTTGATCTCTCAGCATTTAAAGTGATCTTTAAGTAAGTTTTAAATAATTTATGTAATATGGTTTTTTACCGAAAAATAATTTTCATTTATACCAAGAACATTTTAATACCTAATAAAGTCCACAGCAGGAAGATAGCGTGCACCTTAAATTTATAAAGAAAATATTGCATGACATCTACCCACTATCTACCCAACTATTAATAAACAACTAATATTTTTATATATACTGATATTTCTTCAAATTATTTAATTTCTTTACCTGAGGAGCAACACCATTTAGTACTCCATTAATTGTATTATTTTCAATACTAAAAATAACTAAACGACAAATATCATTTATATGAATCCAAGGTAAGTATTGTTTTCCACTTCCAATTTCACTTCCAAGACCAAAAAGGAAAGATGGATACAATTGCTTTACTAAACCACCACTTTTTCCTAGTATAACTCCTAAAATATAAAACACTATTAGTGAGTTTAGAACAATAAATTAGAATTCAGAATAGTTTCATGTTACAATAGTAGTACCTGATCTTATGGCAATGGATCGCACAGAATCTAAATTTACTTTGGCACTTTTTTCTATGCCAATAACTAATTTTGAGAAGTAATCAAATTCTTTTATAGGATGATAATTTTCATCATAGACACTAGTACTGGATGGTGGATAAATTCCTATAAAAAACAACACTTTTAAATAAAAAAATACAATAAACAGAATAAATAATATCCACTTCATATACTTTAAGTCAAATTATTTATCGATAGTAACTATTTTGTTTCAATTTTAGTTATTGATAACCAACATTTTTGTTAATTGCAAAAAATTATTTTTGTGGTAGAATTCATACCAGGTCAGGTTAAAAAAAAAACAGTATATCAATTGATTTAAAATTTATATACTAGCAGGGTTGGACCCAGTAGTAAAATCTAGTAAAAAACCCACTTGTAAAAAAAGCATTTTTTGCAATGTTTCTTTTTAATTAACAAATAGAACATCAAAATTAACACATCAAATTTTAGAGAAATAAATTTTATATTTTATGAAGAATTAACAAAAGACAGTTTAGTGTATTATTAATAAGAACAAAAATATTTATCATTTGAACAACAAATTTGATAAATTAACTGTTTGGTGTATTAAATAATAATAAAAATAATCAATATAGGGTTCTGCTATACAAAATTCTCTTCTTACAAACATATGATTGGTTGTACAATAATTTACCAAAAACTAAGAAATACTAATAATTTAAATTAATTTCATTAACAAAATTATTTAACTAGTTCAAAACCTACAACGAGTAAAAAGATGCTAGTAATTTGTTATGAACTTACCAGCAAAGTAAAAAAGAAAAAAATTATAGAACTAAAATATTTTATTATTATTAATTAATCACTTAAATCTCCTAAACCTACATTCCAGCTATTTGGGTTTGGTTCTACCGTACAATGATTTGACAGGTTTTTCACCGGCTATGTGACACAACCTCACTGGCTGAGGAAACCGATAAGTATGTGAAACTGTTAAAGTTACATCAGCACTAAGGTGGCAAATGAATGTTTTTAAATGGGTTATAGTTGATAGGTCTCTCAATAATAAGAACTGTATGATAAATAAAAAATTTTGATTAAAAAGGTAATTAAGTTTTCCACATCTCTATAAAAATCCTATACCATTGTTCATAATAAAAATAAAATAAACTTTAATTGAAACTTACCTACCCCTGAAAATACAATAAATGCTTTAGGTTTCTCTACAGTCTGTTGAATAGCATTTACAATAAATTTATTTGTATTAATTCTACTATTCCATAATTCTTTTTTAAAATTTTCGTTCCACATTTTAAATGGGTTCATTATAGGTTCTCCAGCCGTGTTGATAACTGCAATTGTACCACTTGGTAAACCTTTTTCAATTAAATCATCCTGAAAAAATTATTTTTTTAATTAAAAGCTATATATTAATAAATTATTTGATATATTACCCAAGAAAGAGTTTTGTCACTATTTTTTTTATTCCTTGAAAGAATAATTACATCATAATTATTCTCAATCAAAAATGTTTTTAAACGTTGTCCAGTAAACCCTGTTCCACCACCTACAAAACCATTTATTTTTAAAATTAATTATTTTAATTTCTATAGAAAGTAACCATATTATTATTTATATGAGGATAAAATGTAAATGTTAATGAAATAAAAATTTAGTTTACTCTCTAAATTTTGCATATTTTAATACATACATAATGATTCATTTATCATGAATCACTAAATTAATCAAAAAATAAAAGTAAAATAAAACATTTTTTTTTAGATATTTTCCTTAATCTGTCAATAATTAAGAATATATCATTAACATTTTATAGTGATGGCAAGAGCTGAAGTGTGAGTGTTATTTTTTTTATCACTAGTTATTTTTCAGTTGCATTCTTTTTTGTGCCAAGGTATAAAAATGACAAACATTTTCAGACCAGTCATTTTCTTAATTTATTATCTATTAAATGAACTAGTTACATATTTTGCCATTTGAAAAAATAAAGTAACACTCTTATATAGGATGAATATAATAAACACTTTATAACTAATTAATTAAGAAAAATATATCACTTAATAAATAAAAAATAAAATGTATTTAAATTTTTCGATTAAGTGGTCTACAATAAAATAATCACTCTATACATTAGAAATAATAAATTAGCAATTTAGTTCTTAAATCAATAGTTGTATATTATTATTGTGTATAATATACATACAATTTATACTTTCTAAATACTTTAAAGAGTACCACAAATATTTTTGTTAACCTATAATTAAAATTTACTTAAAAGTAATTTTTTTCAATAAAATTAAATTTTTTAATTATATTTAATAGGGGAATAAAAATGCACCTAATAAGTTTATATATAGTTTAGTTTCATACCAACTAGAATTTTTCCTTTACTAGATACTGCATAATGCCTCTTAATTAAAGAGTCGCAATTTAAAGCTTTTTGATTTCTTACAAAAGAAAATATCTTTAACATTTTCAATATTTTTAAGGGGTAAGAAAATTATCTTAGATTTAGTAAATAATGATTTATAAATTTAGATTCATTTATAATTTATGTGGATGTTTATACAACAAATTCAAATTAGACATCGTGTATTTATTACCATAACTGAATCATTTCTTTTGAACTAATTGATGTTCAAAATTTGATTTGAGATAAGTATGCAGTGTTAAAATACTGAGGTAAATTCATTCAAGTTACCAATAACTGGTTATCTACTCATCACTGAAAATAATTTTTCCATGAAATTAATATGTTATTATACTGACATAACCTCAATATAGATCTCTGTTTTCTTCGCTAGGCTACGTCTTCGTAGCGTCCATTATTCGACGTCAATTCATGGCGTCGGTCACAATTTCTCAAACTCTTGAACTGAATTGGAGTATCTTCTCCGGACCTCGTTTCAAATTTTGGTAATTACATTTAATTATTTTACTTTGGATTTTTAATTCATTATTACACAACAACTTGTATGTTATTTATATTTAATTATTAACTTATTATCATTTTTACATGATTTTTCGAGTTTGACCATGTGAATTTTCGTAGATTTCCTATATTTGAAATTTTTATATTGCATTATTTTTTTTAATTATAGATTTCGTAGCCTAGTAATGCGGGCTAAGTGGCGTAAGAAGCGTATGCGTAGGTTGAAGCGCAAAAGGAGGAAGATGCGTGCAAGGTCCAAGTAAACCTCGTGCCTTGATCCTGACATATTGTCGTGTTTGGTAAAAATACAATGATGTTGTAACTATTTTCTATTGATATAATTAAAATCTACTTTATACCACATCAAAAACGTTTAAATTTTTTAATCTAAATTATAATCCTAAATTCTAATTTACCTTAATCTATATGTATTATTTTAAGGTTAAATTTTTTTCAATATGTAAATATGTTGAATAATGTATTATTATTTTAACTGATAACTTGTAAAGTTCTTTTAAAGAGTCAAAAGTTATGTTTTTATTACTGGTTGAAAATTTTAACCTAGTTAAAATTTTTGTTTACGTAATTCAAATTTCATGTGCTATATCATTACTGATGTGACATAGAAAATGTGAACATTTTAAAGATGTTCGGTGTTCAAAATAAATTTAAAACTTGCCTATTATTGTAGTTGTATAGGTCATTTTAGGAACTTAGTATATTGATTGAACATCAAATTATTTCTGTTAATCTCATTAATTTCTATAAGTCAATGAATGACTTAGAAATTGTTAAAGAATGATCTTATGCAATTTATAGGGATGAAAATCGAGTATTTAAAGTTGTAATTTAAATATTTCAACTTTTGGCAGTTAAAAAAAAATATTTATTTAAATTATTAAGAAAGAAATTTTAGAAATGTCATAGAATACATTTGTAGTTATATTTAATTTAATTATATAGCAGACATGTATCAATATTTTTCACATATATTATGTGAATTTATCTCAAGTTATAAAATGGAATATTTTGAACAATTTTCCTCATATCAAGAATATATATCCAAAAAATATTGATTAAAGGCTCTACTTTATATTTTTTAAATTTTGTTATTAAATATATATATTCAAAAATACACTGTTAATGTTTAAGTGTAACTGAACTACTGTATTTATTGAATGGTGGTAAGTATACTCTAATTAAGACAATTAACTAATTAAATGTAACTTAGTAAAAAAAATTAAATAAAGTCTCGAAACTTCATTTGATTTCCAGGGTTGGGCATTTCAATTGTAATTAAAATACTTTGTGTAATTGGTAATTATTTATTTACACTTGTACAATTCTAATTTGTTATTATGTTTAATGGACTTATTTAATTCAATATTTTTGTGTAAAAATGAGTAAATTTAATTTATTTTTTAAAACTTAATACTTAGATTTGATGAATTTATCATTTAATACTTTTTTTGAGTAATTTGCCTATCCTTGACAATTGTTCACTTTTTTACCAAGTTGTTTCTAGTAATTTTTTTTGTCCAGAAAAACTACATTTATTGTTTTATAAAGTAAACTTAATATAAGGCTGAATTCCATCAAATGATCATAAATATTTAATTCATCTATATATATAAGATTAGCAAAAATAATTCAACATTAATTTGATACAGCAAGAAATAATTAAATGAACATTAGAAGAAATGAGAATTATTTATTATAATGCTCTAAAAGGTGTAATTTAAATTGTTACATATTCATATATACCTAAATAATAAAAGAACTTATTATATGAAAAAAAAAATTGTCAACCAAGAGTTCTTTTTCTAAGACTTCTATAAAAGAAAAATACTACGAATTTAGTAGGCACCTGATTTTTAAACATATATTTAACTTAGAAGTTACATAAAATAATGAAATACTTATTAAGCACTACTTATGTAAGTTATCAAACTATCTACCATTGTCGATGAGTAGTCTTGTTCTTAGAAAACTATCTCTATATCTACTGACAAGAGCATAATAACTTTGAAATTTCGTAAAGGTTTTTATTTTTCATCTTAAATTACATTCGCATTAATTAAATATAGATTAAAAGAAAGTGGGATTTTTGAAACAATCAAAAATTAAAAGAATAATTTGTCCCGTTTTGAAAATTTTTTCTTCAAAAAGCAATTTTTCTATAGAAGATATTAGATATTATTCTATAGAAGAATTTTTAAATGTATGAAAATATACTGAATGCAATTATTAAGAATTAAAAAAAGTTATATAATTCCATAGTGATGAGTTCTTTTTATTTCCGATAATAATAAAATACTATTATTGACATTTCATAGAGTTTCAGGCTATTTATTAGTATTAAAAATTTTGAATATTTTATTATTGTATTAACACAATATCAACATTTATAATACTAATAATGATACTTATAGGTTTGTTGTCATTTTTTAAAAATATATTTGTAAGGATATTAAGCTGATTATTTCATGAAACATTTACTGCATTCTGTTAGCTACACATTAGTTTTTGGATTAAAAAATCAATTTCAATTGATAAAAAAACAATTTATTATTTTTAAAATCACAACCAATTCAAATTAAATTAATTAAAAAGTAAACTTAACTTTTTACATTGGGTTGATATCAAATCAATATTTTTTTCTCACAATAATGAAAAATGATACTTTTTTTACTCTCTAATTTTAATCCAGAAATACACATTTTTGTCTTAATTTTAATCACATTCTCAAAACATTTTATTTTTGTTACACTATACTTATCTAATTCTATTACATTTGACAGTATATAGGAAAAGTCTTTGGAAAGACAAAATTTAATAAAATATATAAAATAAATATACTTAATTTATGTAATTATTAATTTTAAAATAAAACTTTTTAATTATAAATCAATTGTAGATAATTAATAAAATCTGTAATCAAAACAAGAATTAGTAGAATATGTTAACATTTTTAACCATAACAATTTGATGATACCTATTTTAATTTTATTGCACTTTATTTTTTTTTCAATTTATGATTAAAAATATACTTTTTAATTAGTATTAACTATTCAAGATTTTACATTGTAAAATTAATTTTGAACAAAAATATTTACACAATTCAAACTAATATCTACAGCAAACTTCCTTAAAAATATTATGTAACTTTAATACTAATAAATTTACTTTAATACTTATTATAGAAAATAAATAACTAGATTAATAGACCTAACAATCAGCACTATAATGTCAATCAAATTGAATTACATATAAGGAGAGGGAATTATTGACTAGTCAGTTTTATGAATTAATTTACTATTAACACCTATTATATATCAAAATAAATAAAATTAAAATATTTTTACAATATTATGGGTTTATTATGATATCAAGTCATAAGGGTTGTAATCTTGTAAATTACAGAGAAGCTGAGTAAATTATTCAAATAATAACTTGCTCAAGTTCATTCACTTTGGTTTATTGCTAATATGAATTAATAGTCTATTTAAAATTCAAATAACTAAATAAAGACAACTAACTACCAGTGTCAAAAAAATAGATTCATTTGAGTTGTTCATTAAAATTAAAAAAGTATGTATAACAATAAGTTTTATAACAAGAAAAAATATAATTTTAAGGTACTATAAAATAATTAAGGATTAAAAATTTTTTTTGTTCTAAAAATAAATACTTTAAATTACATAAATGATTTAGATATTAGTTAATAATTAATACCTATCAACACTTACTTCTCTTACAACAGTATTTGAACTAACCATTTCTGAACATGATTTTGCTTTGTATAACTGATTATCAGTACTTTTTTTACCAAATAAAATTTGTGTGCATAATTTTTTTTGTAAGTTTAAATATTTGCTAAGAAGAGAAGTATGTTTAGATGGTTGAACTTTCTTTTGCTGTGGCATGCTTGATATACTACTTTTGATAGATTCTGTTTTCACACTATTTGAAGTATCCTAAAAAATCAATAAAATTGTGTTTGCATATATTTAAACAACACAAGTATAAAACTCAACTAAAATTTGCCTTTACTGCTATAAATAATGGGAGATAATAGGGTTTGTTTTAAACATTTTTTAGAAAAGCCATTAAATTACTAATTTGAGTCAATACAGATGGACTCTTAAATAATTTTTTTTAGATAAGAATAACATTTTACCAATTTTGTATTCTACAATTAAACGTTTTGTAATTAGTGTTGAGACTTTTATAATGAATTCTAATATAACCATAATGAGATAAATCATAACAAAATTTTCTATTATTCATAAATTTATAAAATTATATTGTTACCTTTTCAGTTTTTGTGTTATAAATAAAATGATTAGTAGCATAAACCAAATTGGATGTATTAATCTCAGATTCTTGAACTTCAGTTATGCGATTCAAGCTCTGACTTTCTCTTAATCTTGTTTCTGCTGACCGACCTCTTCGACTTCTTGAAGTCGCATTCATACAATGTCGTTTACCAGGTACACTATTATTACCATTGCTTTTTTCTGCCTTATTAGTATAATTACTGTCTCCTTCACGATTATTTTCATCTTGATCTAATGAGGGTTCTGATCCTTGACCACCAGAATTTCCCATTCCATCACCATCAGGGTCTCTGTCGTTCCCTTTAAATGATGCCAATGATTTACTACTTCCTCGCTTTTTACGGCCATCTGTATCATCATCACTGGTTTCTGAACTACTGCAAGATGCTGTTCGATTTTTATGCATTTTAGTTCTTCTTTGTTCATAAGTTATGTAATTGCCTACTCTATGTTTATCATCTGGAAGCATTTGTGACATATGTTGAGAACTTGTATAATGAGATGGTGTTTTGTTAATAATTAAAGGAGTAGGTGCTGTATTATACTCTTGAAATTCAGTAATAGGTTCAATTAGTCTCTGTATTTCAGATACAACACTACTTAATTTACTCTCAGATCTCGATGCTCTTCTTGTTTGACTATTACCATCTTCATCTTCGTTTTCAGCTTCATCTTCTTCTTCTACCACACTACATTTTCTAGTTCTCTAAAATAAAAAGTTGATTTATTGATAAGATTATAATTTTTCTATATATAAATATTTATTACTTTAGGATGATCAGGTAATAAAGTTTCAAATACTGCAGATGTAGGTTTTACATTGACATTATCTGAGGCATTGGTACCATTGCAATTATCAATTTTAAAATTAGGAATATTTGTACTATAAAATAATTATATTTAGTAGAAATATTTTAAAATATATAAATTTTAAATTATTTTTCAAAATGATAAAATGTTTATACATTTCGAACAAATTTATAACTAACTCTAATAGCAAATATAGTATAAAACTCATATAATTTAAGAAATTTACTTAAATTAGGAAGAATTATCCTTAAATTAACAATATAAATAATTACTTTTTTGAAGTGTGAGATTTATTTTGAGTAGTAGATGCCAACTTTCTTTCAGCAAGTAAATAGTATGTAGCTGTTATATGATTGTATTCATTTTTATCCAAAGCTCTATATTTTTAAACACAACATATTAATAACAATAGATATTTAAAATTTTTAAATTTTATACGCACTCAATAATTTCTTCTTTTGATGCAATTTTACCAGTAATCATTTTTTGAATAATTAAAGCGTGATCTTCTTCACTAATTAATTGTTTAGTAACTAGAGGACTTTCGTCATCATATGATTGAGCATTTTTAAGCCACACATTTGCAGCAATTTCTTCAAGAGTAGCACGTTTATCAGGATTGCGAACTAACATTTGACCAATAAGATTTTTACATTCTTCAGACACATGACTAGATACTTTATATTTACAGTCCATAATCATAGTAAGTGTTTCACTATCATTAGCTGAATGAAAAGGCGCTTCTCCACAAACTAGCATATACAATATAACACCTAATGACCAAATATCTGTGAAATAAAAAAAAAGGTTAATAACAATAACATACTATATCTACAACTTAACCAATACTTACCAACAGCAGTAGCATTGTAAGAGTTTCCAATTAAAATTTCAGGAGCTGAATAAGCTAAAGAACCACAAGATGTTTGCAGTTTTTGACCAGGACAAAATGTGTTACTAAAGCTTTAAAAAAAATAAATTTTAATAAAAAAATTATTAAAATTTAAAATAAAACAAATTATTTACCCAAAATCAGTCAATTTTACAACTCCCTCTTTCTCAAAAAATACTACATTTTCAGGTTTTAAATCTCTATGGACAACATGTAACTTATGACAGTATGATATAGCTCGGACAATTTGAGCAAAATATTCACAAGCAAGTTTTTCTGATAATCCACCATCATGTTTCATTATGTAATCGTATAAATCACCACCATCAGCCAATTCAAGAATGATGTATAATTTACTTTGAGTATCAATTACTTCATATAGTCTTACAACATTAGGGTGTTGAACTAATTTCATACACCTAACCTAAAAAGTAATTTTTTATATAGGATTTTACTTATTATTTTAAATAATATACAATCTTTTTTTTTATATAAGAGCTAGAATAAAAATTGAATGTAGAACTTTTATTTTAGCTACAATAAAAAAAATTATGTCATAGTAACAAAAGATCAAAAATTTTAAATTTCATTCTTATATATATATTTATGATTTATAATTAAAATGAGGTAGAAATTATGATAGATATTAAACATAATATGTATAAGAAAAGTAAATCTTGTCAGCAAAGGAATAGGTATAAATTAATGTTGAAGGTTTTGAATATATAAACTAACCCCATTGAGGGTTGGTTTGAACCCTTATTCTCCCTTACCTTTGCCCTTGTATGTCAAAAACCAAGCATTGTAAGGGGAAATTTATGAAAGACATTTTCTATGACTATAATTATATCAAAAATAATCAAAGAAGAACCCATTTAATAAACACATTTAATAATCATTTAATTAATAAAGTAGACTTATGATATTTTATTTCTAGGGTAAGAATATTATGCATAAAAATATTCATTTAAACTAATTAAAAATAAAATAATATGATTATGTTTTATAGATTAGTAGTTTATTTTTGTTGAGCTCTAACTTATTATCATAAATAATTTGTATTAATAGAACTAATAGAAGTGTTATCTTTATTTATAAGGTTGCTTAAATTTATCTGAAATAAAATAAATATTTATAATAATGATAAGGTAATATTACTAACAATGCAATTAACACAATTATAAATGAGCTTTAACGTGAGTTTAGCTCCTAATAATTATTTATATATTTTTAATACACAACATTAATATACCTCAAAACATTTAAAAGGTAAGTTTGGTAAATTCTTAAAATATACTAGTGTAGTTATTTACCCCAAATAATTTGAAATGACACTATAAACAAGGTTTAAATATATTTAAGGATCAGCAAGTATTTAAATGTTTAATCTTAATTCAATGTAGATAATTTCAACTAATGAAGCTTATTGTATAAAATAGAAGACTTCTAAACTTCCAAAAAAATTAATTTAAATCTAATATACTAATTAATTTATACTCTAATTTAAATTTACAATAATGAAATAATTACTTCTTGATACAGATGATTTCTAGAAACTTCTTCTAACTTAGTTTTATCAATTACTTTCACAGCAACTTGTGCACCAGTAAATACATGTCTGGCTGATTTGACAACAGCAAAATGACCCTTTCCTAATGTTTGTTCAAGATTATATAATCCAGCAATATTACCTCCATTATGTTTAGCAGTTTTAATAGTTTCATGTTTTCCAATCACTCCACTACTGTGCTGCATCGTTCTGTTCAGTAAAACAATAAAACCTTACTCAGGTGGTCAATTGAATTCTCTTCTAATTAAATAAACATATTTTAGAAATTATGTGCATTTCTAACTTCTGTTTACTATACAAATTGTGTGTTGAAGGCTATGATTTCTAAAGTTAAAAGAGAAATAACAACCAAAAACAACCTATTTAAAATTATTTTGCACGTCAATAAACAAAAATAAAATATTAACAAACAACTATCTTCCGAAACTTCACTGATAGATCTAATAAGCTACTTGATAATATTTACATATAACTGTTCGTCTGTATCGCATTATCGCGATTTAACTCATCTTAATAATTATATGTATATTATTTGTATAATAAATATGCACACACCAACACATATACATTTAATAATCGATATAAACACCTGTGTATAATTTCAAGGTCACATAATTTGCGTGATAACTCATACCATCAATGTTATCTTTGATTATAAGCCACCATAGTTTTTTTGATAAAAGATAAAAAATGTTTGCAATTTCTCTGAGATGTAATAAGTGTTGTATTAGATAAGAATCTAATATTTTCTAATCTAATATTAATCTCATATTTTCATACCTTTTATAATTAATTCACAGAATTATGTTTAAGAGGAAATAAATGTATAGTACTGTTATTACTATACTGTAATGTTGTATCTCTCTCTATATTAAAGTATCTATATTTACTAATTTATTTATAATAATTAATCTTTAAAATCACAAATAATGTCTGTAATCATAATTTACTGAGTTATTTAGTTGTTATTTTTATTTATTTGTGATGAAGACTTAACTATTTAAATTAGTTGAATTCAATTATACTTTATAGTTTTTACGCATTTATTTGTGTATTGAGATGAGAACTAAATTGTTAAAATAAAATGGACCAACTTTTGAAGTATTAATAATAAAAGACAACACAATTCAAAATTAAGTACAGGTTTCTGTACTTCAACGCTTAATAGAATAAATATATTTGGTTATAAAATAATTTTTCCTATTATTAAAATGAATTTTAATTAACAATAGATTTAAGTTAAACTGTTTTTTGGGCTGTTGATGTTAAATTTAGATGCTCCATTACGTTTTCGGTAATAGTGTAACCATGGAAACATTGTAGCCATATTCTCCATTGGTTATAGTAAATATCTCTAAAATAAAGTGGTCAGTAAAAAAAATCCTCAATGAGAAACTTTTTATTTTATTCTTACTATAAAACCCTGACGTAGCGTTAGCTAAATCTTAGCTATAACATATCTTACTCAAATAATTTGAGTTGCATAAATCCAAATTAAAATATGTGTTCATAAGCCTGTATAGGGGGTTGCTATGGCACCTTAGAATCCCGAAAATTATTGAAAAATTAAATTTATGGTTAGATAAAAAAACGGTAGCACAGTGAGGTCGCGGCATAGTGGAGACATTGCATAGTAGGGTCCAGTATAGATTTAATCTGACAGTGATTAAAATCACTATCATAAGAAACGCTTCGATGCAAATCTGTAGATAGTGTTTAATTTTAAAAAATTGATGGATAATTGCAAAAGCAACATCAACTTCTATTAAAATAAAATACAAAACCCATAATTATCATACAAAAATAGTATATTTTTCAATATGGTACCCATTTGCGTATAGAAGATAGATCGTCGGGACAAATTTTTTTTTTTCATTTTATAGTACATAAAATAAGTTGATAAAATAAATCTTATGTCACATATGTGGAGTGGTTTTTCCTAATATTAATTCATGAGTACGTTATTGAATATATAAATAACTTAAACATGTAAAATTATATCTTTTCAATCATAGGTGAAGTTAGAAAAAATATTTGAAAGGAACTACATTTTACTACTCTTAAAACATTTTTATATTATTTTATATATAAATTTTCTGAAATAGTAGGCAAGCTAATTTTATTTTGGAAGTGGCTAACTTTTCCAAGTTCACCTTCTTTAATCATTATTCGAGTCTTCTAAACTGAAAATGATAAGAGTATACATTTTTTAAATTCCGATATCCTTTTGAGCTAAGATATCTTTTTTATTTATTTTACGTAAATAAACAATTCTATGAAATAGAAAAATTGGTACCATAGAAATAAATAGCAAAATATTTTGAGTGTCAAAAGTAATTTATGTTAGCTTCGATGCGAAGCGGAGAAGGTATTAATTTTACTATGATGTGTTTTTTTTTTTTTTTTTTTTTTTTTTTTTTTTTTTTTTTTTC